CCCTCTTCTGGTCTTCATGTGCATTGCACACATGTGCACTTATGGTACATGTAGACAAACCATTCATAGACATAAAAAGAAATAAATAAAATTTATAAAAGATGGTATAGGTTTGGTAGAAAGGATTGAAGAGGAACCGTCCCTTAGGAAGAGTGAGGAGTTACTAGCATCACGCTGTAGGCAGTATGATGGGGTCCTGAAGGGTTGCTTCAGTCCGGGAGAAGCAAAAGAGAATATTTTTTTTTTTTATTCATAGGTTTCCAGTGGGTTAGGGTGGAGTCTTGCCACGTGACTTAACCCACGTGCTGAGTCAAGGGGATGACAGTAAAGTTATAATTCGAGTCGTGGTGGGTCTGTGGATCAGAGCCTGGGTTTGCTCACAGCCCCAACAGAGGGAGGGGCTGCAAAGCCACAGTAGGTGTTGCTTCTGAGCTTTCTGAAGAGGGAGGGAGCTTCAGGGGTCTGTGGCTGAGATCTGTAAACTTTCGGTCATAGAAGGAGGAGGGGCTCATGGGGCTGTAGACAGCTGAGGGCTGCTGGGGGAGAGGAAGTCACTGTCTTCAGCAAGGTGGCCACTGGTGAATTACTCCAGTAGGTAATTCCAGCCTGGTTTACATAGTGAGTTCCAGGCTAGCCAGAGCTACATAATGAGACCTTGTTCCTCTGCCTCTCCCTGCCAACCCCCGAAAAAAATCTGCCAACAAAAAACAACCCTAGAGAGAAAAAGAAATGTAAGTGGGATGGGGACTTGGTGGGAGTAGGGGAGGCTGGGTAGGGATGGGAAGAGGCTAATGGAGGGTAGAGGGACAAATGTGATTGCAGTGTATTGTATACATGCATGAAACCATCAATAAGTTAAAAAAGAAAGTGGGGAGCTGGAGATAAATTTAAAAAAAATTAGAGCGTGGGGAGAGGGTTAGAAGAAGACATTGGGGAGTAGATGGTCAGCTCCTCCTGAGGGTAATGGGGCTTACATGTAGGAAGCATGTGGCTCCTGTGGAAAATATCCATTTTAGTAACCTGTGTCAATTCTCCTCAGGCTGTGGAAGTGTGGGTGTGTGTGTTTAAGTGGAAAGCACACAGTGTAGCAGGATCACAGGCTAAGCACACAGGGAGTACAGAATGAAAAGCTGCAAGGCCGATCTGTCTGTGACTTGGGGTGGGCTGTCCATGGGCATCTTTGGTGGTTTTAGTGTCATGGGTGAAGTTCTCCCTGACAGAATCTTGGGGGCTTGTTGTCTGAGGTGCTGGCCTCTTCACTCATGCTAGTTAACTCATGATGAAGTCATTTGGAATGTAGGCTTGAGATGCCCTCTTAAAAATTATTTCTTTGGGGGCTGGAGAGATGGCTCAGTGGTTAAGAGCACTTACTGTTCTTGCAGAAGACCTGGGTTTGAATACCAGCACCCACATGGTGGTTAACAACTGTCCATAGCTCAAGTTCCATGAGATCTGATGCCTTCTTCTGACCTCTATGGGCATTGCACAGCATGGGTGCACTTACACACATGCAGGCAATACACTCATACACATAAAATAAAAATATTTAATCCCAGCACTCAGGAGGCAGAGGCAGGCGGATCTCTCTGAGTTCAAGGCCAGCCTGGTCTACATAATGAGTTCCAGGACAGCTGGGGCTACAGGGAGACCCTGTCTCAAAAAGACCAAAAAAAATAAAAAATACAATATTAAAAAAAATATTTCCTTATGGGGCTGGAGAGATGGCTCAGTTAAGAGCATTGGCTGCTCTTGCAGAGGATGCTGGTTCGTTTCCCAGCACCCATGTGGCAGCTAAGAATCATCTGTAAATCCAGGGGATCTGTGATAGTTTGAATGACAATGTCCCCCACAGGCTCCAAGTATTTGGACATTTTGTCCCCAGTTGGTGGTGCTGTTTTGGGAGGTCTTAGGTGTGGCTATCCTGGAGGAAGCAGTCACTGGGGGTGGGCTTAGAGACTTCTTATTAAGCTTTGCCTGATCTCCAGTTGCTCCGCTTTTTTGCTTCCTGTGCCTGCTTGAAGATATGAGCTCTCTGCTTTCTGCTCCTGTTCCAGCCACCTCCTGCCACCATGCCTCCCCACCATGATTGACTGTATTTCCCCTGGAACCATAAGCTCAAATAATCTTTCCCTTCTATAAGTTGCTTTGGTCAGTGCTTCTATCACAGCAACAGAAAAGTGACTAATATGGGATCTAACACTGTCTTCTGGTCTCCACAGGCATTGCACACACAGGTGCACTTACATGCAGGAAAAACACATAAAATATAAAAGAATTACAAATATATTTATTATTTTCTATGGTACTGGGGATGGAGCAGGCTAAACACTGCTGTATGACCAAGCTACATCCTAAGCCCTGGGATACCCTTTTTAAATGGGTACCAACTGGGGCCAGCGAGATGACTCAGCCTGTAAAGTCTCTTGCCCCCAAGCATGGCAACCTGAGTTTGATCCCTAGAACCCACATGGTGGAAGAGAGAACCGACTCCCACAAGTTGCCTTCTGACCTCCACAAGAGTGCCTACCTAAATACATCATGCAAACACATAAACACACATAATAAATACATTAAAATATAACTTATTAACACCAAAAATGGTTTTACAGTGCTTTAACAATGTTTTACCTGCCAAGCATCCCAGGGAGATGTGGGTACACACACACTCATTATTGTTCACTCAGTGAATCCAGCAGCTTTCCAGGTAGTCAATGCATGTGGGGGAGGAGTGACTTCCTTTAGTAACCTGGCACCTGGCAAGCGACTGGCAAAGGGCAAGGGAGGCAGCCAATTTATTCTGCAGGTGAAATACATGGCAGACGTTGTTGTTGGCTCTATTCTGTCTTCAGGAGGCTAACTGCCTGTGCAAAGTGAGTGGGATGTTGTTTCCATACTGGGTAGCTATTTATGGGTGATCAAAGGCTCAGGCTGTTTGAGAGCTTCTGTGCCCAGGAAAGCCTGGTAGATGAATCAATAGATGGTCAGTAGGGACAATTTATTATTAGAAACCCTGGAGGAACTAATAGTCACCACACACAGTCCAGACACTGGAGACATCAAAAAAGGTTTATAAGAGCCTCTGACATACAGATTTGTTTTTTTTTTTTTTCAGACAGGGTCTCCCTATGAAGCCCTGGCTAGCTTGGAACTCACTACATACATAAATCAGATTGGCCTCGATCTCATAAAGATCTGCCTACCTCTGCTTCCCAAGTGCTGAGATTAAAGGTGTGTGTCACCACACTGGGCAGCAAGTTTGTTTTGGAAGGCACTAGTAGAAGTTCTTATTAATTTTAGTTTGGATATAAAATTTGTAAGTGACCACTGTGTTTCCAGAAGAATACTAGACTATAAAGATGAAGTTTGTGGGGTGGAGAGATGGCTCAGTAGTTAAGAGCACTGGCTGCTCTTGCAGAGGACCTGAGTTTGAATCCTAGCACCCACATGGCAGCTAACAACCATTCATAACTCCAGTTCCAGGAGATCCAATGCCATTTTCTATCCTCCATGGGCACTGCATGACATGGGTGCACTTATACACATGCAGGCACAACACTCAAACACATAAAATAAAAATAAATTAAAAAAATGAAAATTTGTTAGAAATTAAGGAAAAAATATACTTGTTTTTGTCTTGGTGGGTTGGGGATCACATCCAGGGCCTTGCACTTGCTAGGCAATCACTCTAGCACTGAAATATATCCTTAGCTCCCAAGGAGAATTTTTTATTAGCTAGAGTTTGGGAAGACTTCTAAAATCAAACTAGGACACTCAGGAATCATTTTCTTTCTTTTTTATATTTTGTTTATTATTTTTATTTTATGTGTATGAGTGTATTGCCTGCGTGTATGTGAGTGCATGTGTATCGTGCAATGCTGCCAAGGTCAGAAGAGGGCTTTGGATTCCCCTGGAACTGGAGGGAAGGATGGTTTGTAGCCACTAGATGAGTGCTGGGAATCAAACCCAGGTCCTCTGCAGGAGCAGTCAGTGCTCTTAACTGCTCAGCCATCTCTCCAGTCCCATCTTTTTTACTTTTAATTTTGAGACAGGGTCTTCCTCAGGTTGGTCTGAAATTTGGGATGCTCCTGCCTGAACATTTGAGTGCTGGGATGGGCATGCCCAACACAACTGCCTTCAACTTTTAAAAAAGTATATAAAAAGCCGGGTGAGGTGGTGCACACCTTTAATCCCAGCACTCTGGAGACAGAGGCTGGCAGATCTCTGTGAGTTCAAGACCAGCCTGGTCTACATAGTGAGTTCCAGACCAGCTGGGGCTACAGGGAGATCCTATCTCAAAAAGAACAAAAAATGCTCCAATTCAATAGCTACATAAGCCTTAGGTAATGTTTATCAAAATCACTGATAAGGTGTCTTTGTAAACATTTTTAAATAGCAACTTCATGCGGGGTAGGAGGTACACACCTATAATCCCAGCAGTCAGGGAAGAATTGTGAATTTGAGGCCGGTCGCTATTAAAACCGTATCTCAGAGGCTGGAGAGATGACTTAGCAGTCATGAGCACCGGCTGTTCTTACAGAGAACCCAGACTCGGTTCCCAGCACCCACAAGGTAGCAGCTAACAACTCTTTGTAAGTCCAGTTTTAGGGGATCTGACATCCAACGCCCTTTTCTGGCCTCTGTTGGCATTGTATGCACGTGGTGCCCTTACAAACACATGCAGGCAAAACACTCTCTCACACATATACACACGAACCATGTCTCAGAAAACCACAAAAAACAGAAAACCTCATTAATTTGATAAGGGCTACAATGTGGTAAAAGCAAATGGCTTACTGGGAAACCTTTGCGAGATAATTGTTGATTAAGACAAAATGCTTAGTTTCTGCTATAGTTTACAAGCCTTATACAAACAATAAGACAACCAAATGATGTATACATATTAGGACAAGAGTTTATCTCAGTTTGGTAAGCTCAATTGTATAAATGTCGGGTGAATAGGGTTAAGATACCCTTCCCTTCCTCACCTCTCCAGCTTGTAGCTCCCGCCCTTCCCGGGCTCCACCCTTCCCCGCCCCGGCCCCGCCCTCTTGGTCAAGCCACGCCCTTCTATCACCACGCCCCTCCTTGCCCCTCCCCTTCTGGCCCCCTCTTTCCGTCCCCGGCCCCTTCTACCTCCTTGCCCCGCCTGCCGGCGTCTTCACCCAAACTCAGCACCCGAGTTCCCTCCGCTCCGCCCCTCACCTCTCAGCCGTTGGGAAACCGGAAGCAGAGGGCTGCCACCGCGCTTGCGTAGGGCTTCCTCTCTGTCACTGCGTTACCTCGGCCGCCTGCTGCGTCTAGGACTTCTTTCAGAGTCTGAGGTAGGTTTTTCGTTTGAACTGACCACATACCTGGCTGGTGTGCCCGGCGCGGGCCAGGCTGGAGTCAGAGCACCGCTGCGGGCCTCTCTGACCACGCCCCTCTGCCGGGCCCCTCCTACACCCCTCCTGCCGTCTCCTCGCCTCCTCCTCGTTTTCCCCTCCTCCTCCTCCTCCTCAGACCTTCCTTCTCCTCCCCACCCTTTCCCGCTACCGGGTCCCTCCTTCCCCCTCTCTTTCCGCAGCTCTCGGGTCCTTCCCTCCTCCCCTCCGCCGCGTCTGTCTAGAGTTACTGTACCGACCCTGGGTTAGTGCACGATGGGTTGCTTGTCCTGCGGATGAAACTGGAGAGTCTCCGTCCTATTTATTTAGTCTCCAAATGTGTTCTTTGCTCTTTCCAGAAAGAAAAACCACCTCTGCCATTCGGCTCTTTGGCACTACAACCTCGAAGTCGCTGTCTCTTGGTCTATGGATTTCGGCTTGTTGGGTGAGCTAGGACCCTGCCTAACCCTTCCTTCTGCTTTGAAATGCACTGAATCTGAATTTTGCTCTGCCATTTTTCAAAGGACTTTGCTAACCCATCTCCTTGTTTAATGCATTAAAAACGATTTTATTTATTTCTATTTGATGTATTTGAGTGTTTTGCCTGCAGGTAAGTTCAGCTATGTCGTGCAGTGCCTATTTTTATTTCATGTATATGAATGTTTTGCCTGCATGTAAGTTCACCTATGTCGTGCAGTGCCTCAGAAGAGGGATCCCCTGGATCTGGTGTTACAGACAGTTGTAGCCACCCTGTGGGTGCTGGGACAAGGATCCTCTGCAAGAATAGCCAGTGCTCTTAACCACTGAGCCAGATCTACAGCCCTTGTATATAGACGCTTTACTTTCATTTTTATACCAAGTCTTAAAGTAAGCTTTGGTTGTTGGTATATTTATTTATTTATTTTTGGTTTTTTGAAGCAGGGTTTCCCTGTAAGCCCCAGCTGTCCTGGAACTCACTATGTAGACCAGGCTGGCCTTGAACTCACAGAGATCTGCCTGCCTCTGCCTCCCAAGTGCTGGGACTACAGGCGTGTGCCACCACCCCCGGCTAGACGCTTTACATTTTACACAGAAAAATTTCCAGTTTCAGTTTATCCCTTGCATTAAAAAAAATCTTTTTATTTTATACTTTTTTAGTTATGCATCTCTCGCACTGCATTTTTCAACTGAAATTTTTTTCATCACTGCACTTGCTAGGACTCCCCACTAAATGGAGGAGAGCATATATTTTGTACTCTTGTCCCGTTCCTGATTTTAAGAGAGAACAGACCTACCATTTCACTATTGAATAGTGTGTTTTCAGCCTAGAGAGGCTCATTGGATAAAGGCTCTGGCCACCAAGCCTGAGTGCTTGAGTTGGATTTACTTCTACAAGCTGTTCTCTGGCCCTTATGCACATGCTTCCTCTAATAAATAAAGGTAATTGAAAATATAAAGATAGGATGTTTGCAGTAGGTGCTTGCAGCCTTTTTCTTCCTGAAACCTTTAACATTCTAGTCCTCCTAGTGGGCTGAGTGATTATCACCCAGAGGTGTCAAAATCCATGAGTTTCCTTTGTGTCTGAGGGGATGAACCATAAGATCTTTTTAAAAAAAGTAAAAAAAATTATTATTTTTACTTTATGTGTATGAATGTATTGCTTGCATGTATGTAAGTGTACCCGTGTCATGTAATGCCCTTGGATATCAGAAGAGGGCATCCGATCCTGCAGAACTGGAGTTATGTTTGGTTATTAGACACTATGTGGCTGCTGGGAACTCAACTTGGGTCCTCTGCAAGAACAACCAGTGCTTTTAACCACTGAGCCATCTCTTCAGCCCCCATAAGATCTTTTAATATTAATAATAAGACTTTTTTAAAGCAATAATTTAGTTTTTAAGCATCTTTCATTTCTAAGATGTGAAGAGCTTGGTTTGTGATTTATTCTTCTTATGTTATTTTATACCTGTGTGTGAGAATTCCTTATTTGGTGAACCTGCCAGTAAAACAGTTTGCAGCTTCTGTTTTCCTTTGTGGATGTGTTTTATTTTTTATTTTTTTGGTCTTTTTGAGACAGGGTCTCCTTGTATCCCCAGCTGTCCTGGAACTCATTATGTAGACCAGGCTGGCCTTGAACTCAGAGAGATCCGCCTGCCTCCGTCTCCCAAGTGCTGCGACTAAAGGTGTGTGCTGCCATGCCCGGCTGTGGATGTGTTTTAATCTATAATTTTTTTTCTTTTAATAACTGGACATAATGATTTTGTAGTTTTTCAAGGCTGTTACTACAGAGTTGTAGTGCTTTCTAGAAGTTCACTCATTGCTTAGGCATTTTCACATCCCTTTAACTTTTTCTTGTACTCCCCCTTGCACTATTTGGAGTTATGATTAATTTTCCTCCTGAGGCAGGATCTCACTCTAGTCCAGTCTTGCTTTGAACTCGAGGCTCTCCTGTTTCTTCCTCTGAAGCAGGGATTGCAGGCATTCACCATCATGCCATATTTTCCCCCTTTCTAAACTCTTTATGTTGTTCTTTTTCCAATCCAATAAATCAGTGGTTGGCATATTACTACTTTTTTTTCCTGCCTCTGGGAGATGAGGCTAATATAAATGTATATGCATATATTCACTGTATAGTAATAATAAACCAGCTGTAGATTTTCAGTTTTGTTAGAATGTTATTTTAACAAAATTTTTAATTATTTTTGAGAATTTCATACACAAGGATTGTCTTTGCATTAAGTCTCCCACCAACTCCTCCCATGTCCCCCCACTACCCGTCAATTTCTTGTCTGTTTCTTTGATTATTATTGTTACATATATACACATACATTTATAAATATACATATATTTATGTATATTTGAAGGTGTTTGTGTGTGCCTGTGTTTAGGGCTGTCCATTTGAAATTAGAAATGAGTGTTACTTTTCTAAGAATTATTTTATTTATTATGTGTATGCATGTGTTGTGTGGGTGCCCACAGAAGCCAGAAGAGGGCATCGAATGGAACCTGAGTTACACGTAGTTGTTAGCTACTATGTGAGTGGTGGGAACTGAATCCAGGTCCTCAGCAAGAGCAGCAATTGCTCTTACCATTGTGCCATCACTCCAGTCCTATCTGAGTGTTATTTTATTATTTTATAATTTTGAGATAGGGTCTTCCTGTATCTCCAAGCTAGCCTAGAACTCACTATGTAGACCAGGCTGGCCTTGATTTTGCAGCGGACCTGGTTCAGTTCTCAGCACCCATACGGCAGCTAACAACCACTTGTAACTCCAGTTCCAGGGGATCCAACACCTCTTCTGGCCTCTGTGGGCATTGCATACATGGATGGGTGTACTTACATACAGGCAAAATGCACATAAAAATAAATAAATAAATGATAAGTTTTTTGAAATATTTGTAATAATAACCGAATTACAGAGTTTCTAAGAAAATCAATTATCTAAGTATAGATAGCTCTTTGCAAAGCCATTCTCACCTCAGCTTAGATGGAATGTTATAAAGAATGTGTTTTTTTTCTGGCTTTTTTTTTGTTTTAATTTTTTTATTTATTATTTTTATGTGTATGTGTGTATTGCCTGCATGTAGGTAAGTGCACCTGTGTCATGCAATGCTGGCGGAGGACAGAAGAGGCTGTCAGATCCCCTGGAACTGGAGTTACGGACAGTTAGCTGCTATGTGGGTGCTGGGATTTGAACCTGAGTCTTCTGCAAGAACAGTCGGTGTTCTTAACCACTGAGCCATCTCTCCAGCCCAAGAATGTGTTTCTTTTCTTTTCCACTGTGTTGGCAATCCTACCCAGAACCCAGAGTGTGGCAAACACCTTGTCACTGTGCTACACCCCAAGTCCTTAAATGGTTTTATTGGCTTTTAAATATGTTACTTATTGTACTGAAATGGAAATAACTATCTAATTTTTATTTATTTTAAATGTGTCACACAGCACTGTAGATGTCACTGTAGGAGTGACACAGATCAAGTATTGTACCAGTGTACTGCTCACTGGAGTAGAGCTGTTTTGCTCCTGCATATGCAGTTCAATGCTTGATATTTTTTTTTCAGAAACTAGGTTTGGAGTGAATTCTGTAGCTTATGGGGCTGGAACAGTGCTTAAATGGTACAGCAGTAATACGTATTAGCCTACTAAGGGGTGTAGATGTTAAAAAAATGTTTGAGTGGCGCTCCCTGTAGTTTAGTAATTTCCTGGATTTGAAGCAGGATGTCTGTATTATTATGATTGAAAGCATGATACATTTTATGGTTTTTGTTTTCATGGGCAAATTGATAGGAATATTTAGATTTTTTAAAAGATTTATTTATTTAAAATATTTTATTTATTATATTATGTGTATGAGTGTATTGCCTGCATGTATGTAAATGTAGCCATGTTATGCAGTTCCCATGGAGGGCAGAAGAGTGTGTTGGGTCTCTTGGAACTGGAATTATAGACGTCCTCTGCAAGAGCAGCCAGTGCTCTTAATTACTGAGCCATCTCTCCAGCCCTCTTATCTTTATTTTATATTTATTTAATTTTATTTTGTTTTTGAAATAGGGTGTCCTTGTAGTCCCAACTGGCCTGGGGCTCACTATGTAGGCCAGGCTGGCCTCGATCTTACAGAGATCTCCTACCTCTGCCTGTTCAGTGCTGGCATTAAAGGAATGTGCCATCAGGCCTGACTGGATTTATTTATTTATTTATTTATTTATTTACTTATTTATTTATGTATATTTATTTAGTCTTTTTGAGACAGGGTCTCCTTATAGTGCCAGCTGGCCTGGAACTCCCTGTGTAGACCAGGCTGGCCTTGAACTCACAGAGATCCGCCTACCTCTGCCTCCCAAGCACGGGATTAAAGGTGTGCCCCCCCCGCCCTGATTTATTTTTTATCTTACATGTCTGAGCATTTTGCCTGCATGTATGCAAGAGCACTATGTGTGTGTAATATTTGTGGATGCCAGAAAAGGGTGTTGGATTCCGTGGAACTGGAATTACAGGTGGTTGTTAGCTCCTATGTGGGTTCTGGGACCCAAACTGTGATCCTCTGCAAGAGCAGCTAGTGGTCTTAACTGCTGGGCCAGCTCTCTAGCCCCAGGAGTTTTTAGATTTTAATGACTGTACACCCTTAACCCTTACCACATGGTCAACAAGGAACAGTATTATCTTCTAACTCTAGGAGATATGATTGCTCCAACTTCATATAAGACTTGTATGCTTGGATGTTCCGGGTGTATGAGTTTTGAGGGGAGTTGTCTCTTATAATTGACATGCAGCATCTGGGCTCATTAAAGTGAGGATTGGGGCAAGTCTGGATTCATACTAGTTTATGCCTTGTAACTTCAGTATCTTGTTTATTTTCATGAAGGAGACATGGAGGAAGAAAGAATGGCTGCTGAATTACAGAAATACATGACAGAGGTATGCAAATGGTAATAAGTTTCTAAAAGAATTGTTTTCAGTTGACTATGTCTCCGACTAGCTGCTTCAGAGTACACTTTAGCAATTGTTTGTATACTGGATTGTGGTCACTGCCAGCGGCAGCCGCTCCTCCGTTCTCATGGGTGCTGCTCCTTTGTTGTCATGGGCGTCAAGGCTGCTTCTCCGCTCACCCTGGGCTGAGGCCGCTCTTCTGCTTGCCCAGTGCTGAGGCAGCTCTTCTGCTTGCCCTGTGCTGCCTCCTATCATTGCCGCTTCTGCCCGGTCCTGGACCCCGGGGCTGGTGAGGAGACTGTGTCAGTGGAGCTGCATTCAGACACAGGAGACCAGGTTCAGTGACACAGGTCTGGTTTATTGCAGGAAGGCACATGAGACCAGGTTCAGTGACACAGATCTGGTTTATTGCAGGAAGGCACAAGCTTATGTAGGGATAGTGGTCCAATCACAGCACAGCAAGTAGGATACCTTATTAGCATAACAGGTTTAGCATCCTATCACAGTACAGCAAGTAGGATACTTTATTAGCATAACAGACTTAGTGTCCTATTAGCATAACAGACTTAACATCCTATCACAGAATAGTGGGTAGGATGTCTCATTAGCATACTGGGTTTCAGATTACAGAGCCTGGATTCCTGAAAACCACGTGACCCTGACTGTTGCAATATCTAAGTGTTGCAATTTGGAATTCCAAGGGTGGTGACTAGGGAGTGGCGAGCTCTAGGCATCAGTGTCATGATCTGCCAATGGGAGCAAATGTCACAAGGCATTCCTTGTGGCTCTAGCTGTGGGGCATTGCCTCGGGCCTGCTGTATGGCTGTCATTAAGACTTTCATCCTAGGCTCAGCCTGTCTCCCACACTGGATCACATGGCCAGTGTTCTAAGCTTTTAGTCTCTATTGCAAATAAAATCTATCTTTTCAGTACAGAAGCAGCCAAAGAAAGTAAGTAAACCAATGTTTTCTTATGCAGCAGTAAAACCTTACACCAGGGACTAGAGCACTGTCTCAGTGGTTAAGAGCACTGACTGGCTGGTCTTGCAGAGGACCCAGGTTTGGTTCTTGGCATCTACACGGCAGTTAACAACTGTCCATAACTCCAGTTCCAGGGACTCTGAAACCCTCTTGTGGCCTCTATAGGCATTGCATATATGCTTGATACACTTACCTACATGCAGTCAAAGCACTCATACACTTAAAATAAAAATTACAAGCAAAAAGATGAAAAAAAACTTTGTACCAGTAGGTGATAGGTATGAATTGGTTCATGTGTCATAGTTGGCTGTGCCTTGGCCTAGACTACAAGAAGGGTGGCCAGAAGTGGGCCTGGCTCAGATGTAATTGTGCAGGCTTCTGGGCCTCTTTGGCTTATAAGGAGAAAAAGAGAAAAGCTTCCATTCCCAGCTTTTATTTATTTATTTTTTTAAAGGGTCTCCCTCTAGCACCAGCTGGCCTGGAACTCACTTTGTAGACCATACTGGCCCCAGTCTCACAGAGATCTGCGTGCCTCTGCCTCCCCCCATCACACTCAGCTTCTTCAGCTTGTTTTTAATCATTATCTTATTGATGTTCAACCCTATGATTAATGTTGTGCTGATTACTATGGTGTGGTAAGGTAGCAAGTAAAATTTTTCTGCTGTAAGAATTTATGTGTCAATTGGAAATTATTTCATTTTCAGAGCATTTCTCTCCTTTCCGTCATATGCTGTGGACTGTTGTGGACAATTCCAGAACTGGAATTTGTCACTCTCTTATATACTTGAATTCATTCCAGTGTTGGGACTTTGAGTCTTACCTCCCATCTTCCAGCTCAGGAAGAGGGACTGAAGCACACTAGATTACTAATGGTCAGTGATTTATACAGTCTTGTCTACTGGTGAAGCCTCTGTAAGAATCCAATATGAGAGTGGATCTGGGAGCTTCTGGGGAGGTGAACATATGGAGGTTCCTGGAGCACATTGCCCCAGAAGTGCATGCCCAATCTTATCCATCTCTTCATCTGATTGTCTTACCTGTATGTATAAGAAACTGAAACATATGGATTTTTAAAATTTGTGGCATTGTGGATTGAACCCTGGGTCTTGTGCATCCTACGCAAGTGCTGTCACTGAGCTACATCCCCATCCCTGGGAAATACTTTCTTGTAATCTATGCACCATCCCAGTGTAACTGGCCTGGCAAGGGAAGACTGTTTTCAAGAGATACTCATGTTTCTCCCTTGAGCATCAGACTGTTTGAAACAAGGTACCCCAAAGAATTAGAATCTCATACTGGGAGGAAAAAAATGCTGAAGCCTGGTGCCAGTTGGAGAGAGACTTGTCTTCCTGGAAGATTTCATACAGTGCTCATAACTTGTCAGATCCCTTTACAGGAGAGGTCAGACAATGATGGTCAGGACTCTACTTTAACTGGGACTGCTTAGCTATGTGTATCTCTGGCCCTCTACTTAAATCTAAACCTCATGTCAGGACCCCAGAGGTGGACTTGTGGAGGTCAGTGGATCTTTGTCACTCTTTCCACTTTGAATAACTCATTTTTCTGCTTTTCCACTGTTACTTGTTTAGTTGACTTCTTTTTTTTTTTTTGTCTTTTGGAAACAGGGTCTCCCTGTAGCTACAGCTTGCCTGGAACTCACTATGGAGACCAGGCTGGTCTCAATCTCACAGAGATCTTCCCACCTCTGCTTCCCAAGTGTGGGGATTAAAGGCATGTGCCACCATGCCCTTAGTTGGCTTCTTAAGGACAAGTAACTAAACCTGGGTTATTGGGGCTGTCAGTGCTCAGGCTCTAACCCTTAGTAAGTCTGGTCATCAAACTAAAGGAGATGATATGGGGCTCCTGATTTATAGTTGGTTGGTCAGAAGTGTAGATGATACCTTGCTGTTTGCAATTGGCCTCTGAAGTAGGGGACAGTTGTGTGGGACCAAGCCCTTACTCTGTGGGATAATGCTGTCTCTTAAGAGTAGGTGATTGATAAAAGAATTGAATTGAATTATAGCACATCTAGTTGGCGGGAAATCCCCCCACATCTGATAACAGAAGCATTGAGTTACTGAGTAAGAGAATATGAAAAACACTGGTTTCCCATTTTGTTACCATCAGCCTTGGAGAGAGAAATGTATTTTCTTAGTGTAAAAGTTTATGAGACAGGATTTGATTGGTCAAGAAACATGTGTGGTTAGAAATAGATATGTTGGCCACATCCTATAGTAGATGGATGCCCATAGCATCCTCTTGGTTGACTCTCAGTTCCCAAGTGTTGTTAGGCTCATCTGTTTTCTAGCACACATCAGAGGTTGGGACTTTTCTGAGCAGAATTTGTCTTCTTTTAGGACCCAGTAACCATTGAGGACGTGGCTGTGGGTTTTACCCAGGACGAGTGGGCTTTGCTCGATCTTGCTCAGAAGAATCTCTATAGAGATGTAATGCTGGAAACATTCTGGAACCTGGCCTCACTAGGTAAGGATGCCAACATCCTGTGACATAGTAGTTCAGAAAACAGTCGTATCTTCTTGTTCTAGGATTTGGGCTGAGGGATGGTGTGTTACTTTTCTGTCACTGTGACAAAATATCTGGGAACGTCAACTTCAAGGTGGTTTCAGCTATACAGTTGCTTGGCTCCCTTGTTTCTGGCCCTTTGGTGAGGAAGAACACCATGTCTGAGGACACATGGCAGAGCAGAGCTGCTCACCTTGTAGCAGTCAGGAGGCAGAGAGAGAAAGGGACCAAAGACAAGATATGTTTCTCTCTCTCTCTCTCTCTTTTTTTTTTGTCTTTTTGAGACAGGGTCTTCCTGTAGCCCCAGATGATCTGGAACTTGCTATGTAGACAAGGCTGGTCTTGAACTCACAGAGATCTGCCTGTCTCTGCCTCCTACATGCTGGGATTAAAGGCATGTGCCACAACACCCTGCAACGAGATATATGATAGTTTATATCCTCCAAGGATATGTCCTCAGTGATCTACTTCCTCCAACTAGGCTCTGCTTCCTGTTTCTACCCTGTCCCATTAATGGGATCAGTATAATCTACTGATAAAGTCAGGGCTTCTTGATCCAATTTTTTTCTCAAAGCCCTACCTCTGAGCATCCCTGTATTGGGAATGGAATCTTCAGTACATCACCTTTTAGGGAGACACTTCTATCCAAACCATTGTGCTGATATACTGGCAAATAAGATAGATTTCAGGGACCCCAAGCTACTTAACAATCTAGAGACTTTGAGATGCAGATAAACATTGGTGCATTGAATTGCCTCTTCTTTTTCTTGAGGTTGGAAGCCTTGAGGTGTATCAAGTGCTAAAAGTTCAGGCATTGAGGGGGTACTTTGGTATATACAAAAGTGGTTTGTGGTTTGTGACCTTTGGAGGATTTTACTGCTGTGAGTGCTCTTTACTCAAGGACCATCAGGAACACTGTTGTAGTGAAACATGTTGGGTTTATTTCTCAGAGCAACATGGGAGAACAAACACCATGGAGAACTGTGGGAAGTCTTAATAACAGGGCATTAGGAAGTACTAATTACAGCATTTGTTTGTGATTAGGTGATTGGAGGATTGGTCTGTGGGAGCACACAGTATTAGTTTCTTAGGCTCTCTGTAAGATAGTGCCGTACATTGGTGGCTAAAAACTACAAAACCTTAGGCCTTAACTTTTCCGAAAGCTGAGAGTCTGAAATCAAGGTCTGATCAGAGCCATGTTCTTTCTGGAGACTGTAGGGAGATGTCCAGCTTGTGGCTGGTGCTGCCATTTCTACTGTTGGTTTATGGTGGCCTCATTGCTTCTGTCTTCTTTTCAGTGTACCTGTTTTTAATCTTTCTCCTAATAGGGGCATTAGTCATTTGGATTTAGAGCTCACCCTACTCTAGAATAACTTCATTGTCCTTGTGAGGGCCTTATTTCCATATTCCTTATTATGAAGTTGTGGGTGCACTTAAAAAATATTTATTTTTAATTATGTGTGTGTGAGTCTATGTGTAGATATATGCAAATATTTATTTTTAATTATGTGTGTGAGTCTATGTGTAGATATATGCATGTGTGAATGCAGGTGCCCACAGAGGCCTGAAGAGGGTATCAGATCTCCTGATGTTGGAGTTACAGGTGGCTGTGAGCCCCCTGTGTGGTGCTGGGAACAGTACTTGGGTCCTCTGTACGAGCAGTACCTGCTCTTAACAGTTGAGGCTCTCTCTAGCCCCTGTGGTTGTACTTTTTAAAAAAAAATCAACTTTTTTTTTTTGTTTTTGTTTTTTGTTCTTTTGGAGACAGGGTCTCCCTGTAGCCCCAGCTGGCTTTGAACTCACTATGTAGACCAGGCTGACCTCGATCTCACAAAGATCCATCTGTCTCTGCCTCTGCCTCCTGAGTGCTGGGATTAAAGGCATGCACCACCATGCCCGACATAATCAACTTTCTTTTTAGAGCAGTTTCAAGCTGACAGCAAATTTGAGTGGAAGGTAGGGAGATTTCCCAAGTAACCCTTGTCCTCACACAGCAACACCTTTTACACTGTTAGTGTCCCCCATCAGAATGGTAAACATGTTAGAGGTAATGGACCTGTTTGGGTACATCACCATACCCAAGTCCATAGTTGTGTTATGGTTCATTTCTGGTATTTCATGTACAGTTCATGCTTTGGGATAAAAATTTAATGTTGTGTAGCCACCACTGTAGTACCCTACAGAGTAGCTTTATTGCTGTAAAAGTCCTTTGTATTCTGCTTATTCATCTCTCACTCCTTAACTCTCAGCATCTTCTCTATAATATTTGTCTACTGCAGAATGTCATATAGTTGAAGACATACAGTATGTGACCTTTTCAGATCTGCCTTTTTTGCTTAGTTTAGTAACATGCATTTATTTTTCCTTCATATTTTTTCATGAGTTGATAGCTTATGTCTTTTATGATGTTAGATAGTATTCCAATGTCTGGATGTGCCATAGTTAACTTATCTGCTGAGGAGCATCTCAGTTCCTTCCACGTTTGTTATTTATCAATTAAGTGATTATAAACATGCATGTGTATACAGCTTGAGTAGCCACCCTAGGAACACAATTCAGTTGCTGAATCATAGAGTAAAAATATGTTTAATTGTCAAATGAGCTTTGCTAGAAACATAACCAGACAGTTTTCTGCCAGAATTTATTGAATAATAATACTTCAGGGGATTGGAGAGATGGCTCAGCAGTTAAGAGCACTGGCTGTTCTTGCAGAAGACATGGGTTTGACTTCTAGCACCCACATGGCAGCTGACAACTGCCACAACTCCAGGTTCAGTGTCTGACACCCTTTTCTGCCCTCCATAGGCATCGCATGACTCAAGTGCATGAACAGACATGTAGGCATAACACTCATATGCATAAAATAAAAATGAATAATGAAAAATTAAAAAAATACTTCAGTTGGGCTTGGTGACATGTCTTTAAGCCCAGCACTTGAGAGGCAGAGGCAGGCAGATCTCTGTGAAATCAAGGCTAGCTTGGGTCTACATATTGAGATTTAGGCCAGCTGGGGCCACAGCAAGATTCTGTCTCAAACAAAACAGGAACAGGAACAGTATCTCCCCCTCCCCCCAAAATTTTGTTTTCAATGGCTTTAATTCACCAAGTACCAATGGGTTCACTTGGTAGACATGGCCATTGACAGTCACAGATTTTTCACTTCCAGTTTTTTATTTTATTTTATTATTTTATTTTATTATTTACCTATTTTTTTGTCTTTTTGAGACAGGGTCTCCCTGTAGCCCCATCTGTCCTGGAACTCACTATATAGACCAGGCTGGCCTTGAACTCACAGAGACTCCCGAGTGCTGGGATTAAAGGCGTGTGCCACCACACCAGGCTTTACTTCCAGTTTTAATTGCTAATAGGGAGCAGATTGCAGCCCCAGGTGCAGAGTTGTCACAAGTAGGTTTGAATGGAAGGCAGTTTCAAATGTCAGTTTGCAGTGGGCTATGTGACACAGGCTGGAGATACTGCATTCAAGCTGGAGTTCCAGGAGAGAGGCAGAGGTCCTTTACTGTGGCAGTTTCCCTGGATGAAGCTCATGGTGAGTGGCTCAATGTTGGGTCATTGTGCCTGCCATGTCTTAGTCTTGGGGTGCTCCTTTTTATAATCCCATGTGAAGTTGGCTACATCATTCCTTTGATGTGTTGAGTAAGTTCCTGGGCCTGATTTTTCTGATAACAGTTTTTATATACCCCTGTATCTATGTGTTCCTGGTTAGGGAGATGAGAGAAAGAAACAATAGTTTGGGGAAAAGGAGCTGACATAAAATTGCCCTTTAGACAATGAGCTTTATTAGGAGGCGGGGGGTGGGTGGCAATACTACCAGGGAGAGTATTGAGGTATATTAAGTCAGGGCTGTGATAGAGAACTTTACAGACTAGTTAGGGACAAAGGAGTAAAAGAGATATCTGTCATGATGGCATGGAGGGGATACCTAAAAAGTGGGGAGAGAAAAAAGGGAGAGGGAGAGAGCAGGAGAGCATGTCAACCAGAGATAAAGAGCAAGAGTGAGAGAGAGTGAGGGATTGAGAGAGAGAGCAAGAGATAGAAAGAGTGAATGGTAGAGAGTAGGAGCCAGAAATACCTTACTTTTTAGAAGGTTTCCTTAGTGGATGGGGAGCCAGGCCATAGCTCAAAGACAGTTTATGTAGAGATAAGGAAGCACATTTGCTTACAGGTTTCTGTTACATCTCAGGAGATAAGGACCAGAGCAGCAGAGTGATTGTCTGTTCTTTGTCCTGTATACATGTACCAAATTTTCTTTTTTAAAAAAGATTTTATTTTTGGGTGCTGGAGAAATGGTTCAGCAGTTAAAAGCACATTTTGTTTATCCATTCATCTGTTGGTGGACATCTAGGCTAGGTCCATTTCTTAAGTATTGTAAATAGTGTAGTAATAAACATGGATATGCATGTATCTCAGTTGTGTGTTGACTTTAGATATATCCCCAAGAGTGGTATAGCTGGGTCACAGGAAAGTTCTATTTTTAGTTTTTGAGGAACTTGAATACTGACTTCCACAGTAGCTGGACCAGTTTACATTCTCACTAGCAGTGTATATGGGTTTCTATTTTCCACATCTGTGTGTTTTATTCCTTTCTTTCTTCCCATCTTCCTTCCTCCCTTCTTTCTTCATTTACTTATTTAAAAGATTTTTAGATTGATTTTTATGTGTATGAGTGTTTTGCCTGTATGTATGTAAGTGAATCCATGCATGCAATGCTCATGGAGGTCAGAAGAGGGAATTGGGTCCCCCGGAACTGGTTACAGATGGTTGTTAGCTGCCATGTGGGTTCTGGGGACTGAACCTGGGTCTTCTGCAAGAGCAGCCAGTGCTCTTAACAGCTCAGACATCTCTCTAGCCCTAAGCATTTGTTTGCTTGATGATATCTGCTCTGCTTGGGATGGAATGGAATCTCTAGGCAGTTTAATTTGCATTTCTTTCCTTGATGGTTA